AAAAAGCAATTGAAAATGGACATTATGCCGTCACATGATGATTGCGAACGTGTCTGCGTGTCACTCGGTGAAATCAATTTTAGCACTTGTAGAAAAATGATATAAACTACGCATTCGAGACATAATTTATGCATGCATTTTAAATTCGGGCTTTGAATAGACTAAATCAATTGAAAAAGACCTTTCACACCAACGCTATATTTCAACGGCGTGTGCACATGACCACAAACATAGTGTGTACATAATTTATGACTACCGTTGGAAAGTGCGTTGGCGTAAAACTTCTTTTATAATGTCACGATTTAGTTTCCTAATATATATATGTATATATAGACACGCGCTATCTAAGGACACACGCTATCTAAGTAATTGGCAATGTTCTTCCTAATGACAATGTACGTTTTTTTTGTTGTTAAATAGTTAAATTTAACATTTTTTCATATAAATGATATCAACATAATATAATATATATATATATATATATATATATAGTTGTAGCCGACTTTAATAAAAAGATACAATGGGACGAGTGTTAGCGAGCATTATAGTACTATGAAATGTAGGTACAAGTGCCATATACGTATATGATATGTTAAGCGAGTAAAGTCCGGGAAATGTTACACTTTACAATGTGTTCATTGATTTTTGTACACTTTCTGAAGTGTATAAAACTGCTGTACAAGGAAGATCCATTGTTCAGATCGCGTTGTGCACTTTGCAAAAAACGTACGACCATTTTCTACGGAGCGAAATTTATTGAGAAAATGACTGTCTTGTGATTGCAAAAAAAAAAACCTCGTCTTATGTAAATGTTGGTATTTTCGTCTTTGACTCCAGCCGTTTTCGGAACCTCAATCCCCCAATAATTTCCTTTTAAACGTATCAAAAGTAAAAAGAAAATATATTCACATTGTTATGAAATATGTATGACGAAGACCCGGACTATTAATTTGATGTAATACGCATAACATAATAATCATACTCTGTGCGCATTGAAATAAACCTCATTCGGAGACGAGGTCAGTGTTCAGCGATCTGCATCTGTATAATGAAATGACACCTTACTTACCGGACTACGTTTAAACAACGACGTGCTGATGTATATTATTTCTACAGACTATAGTCGGGGTAATGAATATGTTTAATATAATTATTTAGATCGTTACGTTTTGTCACTGTTGGGTTTATCAGCAGGTAGAATACTATAGTCTTTACGGCGGCCGCGTGCACCACCACTATGTTCTCGACAGCGGATGTCCGGACTACAAATGCTCGGGGCTAGGGTAGGAAATGAAATATACTTATTCTTCCCGGGAATCCAATGTATACTGTAAATTGTATTTGGCCTGTTACGTCAAATCTCGCTTGTTTGATCGATGGACAGTTTGTGTTTTTTTTCGCGTTCGGTTGTACTCGCTGAAGGGTTTGTTGGCGTTATAGAAATGCGTATATTTTATACTTTATGACGGAAAAATACCCATCCCGGATCCACAACGAAATATGTACACAGACGAAAAGGTCAAAGGACTGCTACACTATACTAAACTACTATTTACTCAAAAGTTGCAAGTTAAATAGTATTACCGTAAAGTTGTTATAGCATAATACATGGACTGTCGATGATGGTATGTTATATGGACTGTAGAATTCTTTATAACATTTTAATTAGGTATCAGAAAGTTTTCTTGGGAAACAAATAGATAACACCTGAAATAAAAGTGTCATCCTTAGATTTTATTAAAATATAAATATGTATCTAAACGTTATTTTGAGAAGCAAATAGAACTTTGAAAAACAATAATAGTTCAACGTTCAACCTCAGATTATTTCAAAATTATATGGTTTACAATTAAACGTGTTAAAATATTTTTATACTCAACAATATAATAATAACTATTATAATTATTTTTGTGAAAATACAGTTGAACGAAGTACAAATTATGATAAATTATTATCGGTTAGGTAAAAAAAGCAATTAAATTTCATATTTTTTAACGATAGTTATTATGACTCAATTAATTATTATAGCGATATGGTGTTACAAGTGGATTAAAAATGGCACGATTTGGTGCAACTGACCAATTATTTTTAAACCATTTTTTTATTCGGATAAAAATGAATATTATTTTGGGGTGCTAGTAGCACAGGTAGGAATGATATGCTGTATGAACTTGGTCTTAGTTTACCTATTCAAATAATATGTTCTTTTGATTCCTGTACCTCCGGGATTTTCCACTTAACGCTTTAAAATCATGTGTTAAAATGTGCAGTTATAAAGTTAGCATTTATAAGTAATCATATTTTTTATCACAATGCAAGGTCATAGTCTGCTGGATTTTAAGTACCAACTATCAAAAATCAATTAAAATATGTGCACGATAATAAAATATTATTTTCTAGTGGAAGGTTATGGTTTTATTAAATTTTTTATAATTTATCATGAAGGTATCGATGTAGTACAGTTGTATACAACTGTACTACTATGATATATATCAGTACTTACTGACAGTGCTACCTACTTATTTATTATTATTGTTTCATTAACACTTAATAGTTATACGTCACCTATAAAACTGTTGTAGGAATTGCTCATATTGATCGAAGATTCGAAAATAATTAAAATGAATGTATGTTACTGTAAAAGTGGTCAATCTAATAATATTTAAAACCACAAAATTATATTTGTGAAACGGTTATCTTTTACTTGGTATGCTATAATCAACCCAATAGTAATATGCCAAGGGTAAGACATTCTAGTAGAATACAGTTATTAAGCCAATACAAAATAATTTTTTATGTAATAAGTATAATTAAACTATAACATTTTTCATGTGTATTAAAGAATTTAATACGATAATGATTATATTTAAAATTTAATAATAACTAAAACTATATATTTATTCTGATATAGGTCGCTTCCTGTTTCCACACACTGGCTAACAATGCTTTAATATTTATCCATTGTCAATTGTAATATATATAACATTTTAGATTGTTACATCGTCATTTCGAGTGATTAAATAAATACTTTTATTTGTGTGTCCGATTACTACAATAACTATACCGGACACGTTATCGATATAAAATTATACTATAGTAGTATAGTGGTATGCTTATTATATTCCAAGGCAACACGGCGAATCGCAGTAGTTCAGTAGCCTAGTGACATTATATTGTAATACGGTTGTGGTAAGCCCAATAAAAAAATTTGAAGTTGAAATTTTGAAAATATCTCGACTATATCTCAACTGCATGTGGTCCGTATGAGGGAGGGTCGATGAATTTTGTCCTTGGATTTTTCAAAAACAATTTCACAAGTTTCATTTTCCAATTACGATCTTGGACATCAGGAATTATTTTCAAAAACCTAATTCATATACTATTAAGCTTCCATTTGTATGTATAAACAATACGAAAATCACGTGTAATTGAAAATTTCATACACTTACCTTGAATACAAAAAATTGATGACGTTATTGATTTTGACCTATAGAAAATTGTTGGAAAATATTGTACACGTATGTAAGTGCTCATCGTGAAAGAGGGCAAATGCTGCAAGAAAATACCCATTCATTGAACAGATAATTACAAGGTTTGCAATATAACAACCGAGCGGAGACTTAAGTTTTTATTTTATATGCCGAATAACCAGCATACGGTTCTGACTTATTTTGCAGTGAGATTTGAAAGAAGAAAGTTTCTTTTTGGTATTTGATTTTATTAACCCACCCCTGCCTCCTCCCGACATATTTCCACCCACGATCTCAAGTCGTTTATTTATTTATACACACTACACATTATCACTACTAATTTTGGCAGACCAAATAATGTTTAGCCTATTGGAGCATGAACGTAGTATTGTATACACACATATAGTACCTACATAGGCGTGTATACATACCGATCAAAAATCGAGATTATAAATCGTTAATTCCAAGTGGATAATTGTTTAGTCTGTTTACACGAAGATATCCGAGTATCAACACTTATTATAAGATAACAGTATAGTGAAACATCCATTATCCAACATTTTTGAAAATCGCGGTGACCTTTACGATTGTTTTGACGAACGATAAATATAGAGAAACGAATCGCGTAATAATATGCATATTTTTTTTATCTGAAGTTGATAAATGCTGTCAAACAATAATTGTATTATGTATAACAAATAAGTAGATGCGAATATATGGAATGTGTAATGGTTGAATGGTTCTCTTTGAAAAAAAACTCACAGTAGTAATATTACACGTTTGTAGTAGATGCAATTTAAACAGAAGTCGCAATATCTCAATTTTAAGAATATAACTCCAAATGACAATTTTTTTTTTACCAAGATACAATAGTGTACATGAACATGAAAATATGTTTCAACAATTTATAATATTTTGTACTGTATGCTTTCAAAATATTACGATGGATCGCCTAAAAATAATTTTATCTATTATGATATTATTATAGCGCTATACATTTAAAGGGGCCGACACCGATTTGTTGTACCCCGATGAATGGAAGAAAATGTTTCAACCAGGACACGTATATTATTTCTATTATAGAGAAAAATTGGCTGCAAGCAAAATAATTAATATTTATGTCAGACAAGCTTATAAATCGGATTAGTGGTCGGACCAGACTTAATCATCGATGACTGTCGATAATTCAGTTCGTTATGTCAATGCCTAGACTTACAGGCTATAGGACGTCACAGCACTACAGGAACATAATAAATTATCATCAATAAGAATTTATAATTTATTGACTAATAGTGTACGTTTCGTCTTGTTTGTTTTAAATGTTTTTGATTTTGAAACTGCAAGGCTACGACGAAAATATTGTTTTTGTAATATATCTACGACGACGTAGAATGACGAGATACACACAACATTTTTTCCCCCGATAACCTCACGAGATTACTAATAATAATATAAACGTTTACTATGTCAATCACTAAAATAATAATATAATATCCTTAATCATCATATTATTATATAATATGGACTCGCCTCATTTTTGGCAGCTCGCAGTACAGCCATTCGGAAGCGTCTTCCACGGTGACGCGTCTATGGTCGGCTGGAAGGTCAAGTTTGTTTCCGGCCACCACGATTGGCAGCACCTGGTAGTCCTCGCGCTGCTCGCGGACTTCCTCGAAGTTTCGCTTGACCGTCTCGAATGACCGTTCGCAGTCGATCGAATAGACGAACAGGAAGGCGTTCGCATTGGCTATGCTCAACCGCCGCATGGCCGGAAACTGTGGGTTGCCACACGTGTCCAAGATGTCCACCTGTAACCGTACATAATTATAAGAGTTAATATAATTTACCTGATTACTTTTGAATTTCGCGAGCCTAGCACTTTCTGTAGCACGTTTAAAACAAGGGAATCCGGTTCCATAAATCTTGAAATGAAGTCACTTTGAAATACACGTGGTGACGTATTTAGTATGCGGGAATATGGGGAGGGATTGACTGTATAGGGTTTTATTTTTTTTTTTAAATATGTAGCTAGTGTTTATGAGGTACCGATTACGCTATATTAAATGCTGTTACTTAGTCTACTTATCTTTATGAAGGGGTTTTTTTTAAATATAAATATTATTATTCTAACGAGTTTTATTATTTATGCAATGATACTCGAATTCCGAATTTAAATGTTTTTTAATGCTGATCTAAAAAAATTGATATACGTATGTTTATCAAATATCTAATCGAAAACCATTTAATTACGAAACCGGCAACGGACAAAAGAAGACCTCAGTAAATAATTTAGTCAATTTATTATTTTTAGTTACATCGCATTGCATCATTTCCATCAATACTGTATGTACGAAGCAAAACTTATTTGAAACAAAAACATTAACTAGATATCATCATCACACTACTGCAGTCTGCAACATATTATTATTATTATTTATTTAGTAATTATAACTTATTTCGATCGATTATAATATTTCCAATGCGACTAATAGAATAATATACGCTCTATAATTTTGTAGCTTCAGTTATCTATCAGAAACACTCTCGTCGTTATGAATAGGTAGATTGTAATGATATTATTTCACAGTAATGTAAATGAAACTTTGAGTGTTGCAGGGGTTTTGGCTGACAATGGGATAATAATTATTCGAAAGAATAATGTTTGATTATTTTAGACCAAAGTTATATACATTTATATTATAAATATCATATGTTTGGATATGCGTATAGTGCATATACAATTCATACGGATCAACTAAAGTACATTTCAATCTAGTTATGTGTACAAGTTAGGCGCATCAAAGCTCATGCGGATTACCGAATCGACAAACATTTGCGCTACAATCGGTGCACACGATCGTATATTTTACATACTGCCATATTATTTCATTGTAGGTGAACGATGTAGCTATGTGTGCATAATTATATGCTAAATGTGAAGCCCGATAGTAGGTATTCAGGTACATTAAAAAACCAGAGGCGGTGCATATATTTTATCGCGAGGGAGGTTAGGTTAGGTTTCATTTGTTATTGCAATCGAACTTTACAGTTGTTTAATATTGAAAACTCAATTCCGTTCAAACCTTATATAGGTACCGTATATTAATATACACGCGGGTACTGAAGATGAAAACTGGAGTTGACCGTGTCTTTGGCGATGATAATCGCGTCCGCAGACGACCAATAAATACTATACACGAGTGAAGAAAAGCCGAACGCAGACGTGATATGATTTTCAATACAACGAAACTGTTTTTGCTACGTGCATATCGTCTCTAGTCTTTATCTCAGCACACGCCTACAGGTACGTGCCTCTACATATCTGAGCATGGGTTTTCAATTTTTTCCTTTCTTTGATAAGTAAGCTAATTTCATACTCGCACCTACTTATTCGCCATTCACGTTCACCCCCCATTGTATCTGTTAATTATGCATTTATTCGGATTCTGATTTTTGTCATTTATGAGTAGGTACACTGAAAAACCATATTTTCATATGCTTACATTTTTTATGCCATTCAAGGAACCCTGTGTCGATGGCAACTTATTTTTTTCAAATAAATGCATAATTAAGGGATATAATGTTGTGAGCACACTTGAGAAATTAATCACTCTGTATATCTCGATAAACACTTTAAGACACAGATAACGAGACCCGAGGGGTTGAAATTCGTGTAATTCTTCTTTTATGCGACCCATACACAAACTCGAAAAATGAATTTCAATTTTCTTTTAGAGGTTCGAATAATATACTACGTCTCATTTTTGATTCGTTTTCATCTACCTACCTGTAAAAGGCAATGCAATATTCTTACCCAATTAAAACGAAACGCTTTCGTGTTTGTACATAAATGATTGTTTTATTGAATTCCTCTCTTAATAACTGTTAATAATTATCTAAAAATGTCATTAGTTATAGATGCACACTTTTTATTTTTAATTAGCTAATTTACAAGAAATACAATCTCAGATGCGTGCTAAAAAATATATATCTTACACATATTACAAGATCTTCCTTTTGAAATGCGCTTTATATTCCCTTTTTCTTAAATCCAGAAACATCCCTTCTTATATATCAGGGATACTCACATATTATTATTTATTATACTTGTTATTATAAATATAACTTTATTAAATGCATAAATGTATTCACAATAATAATATTTCAGCTAATATTATTAATATCTCAACTTGGAATTATATTATAGAATAAAATTCTAACGTTATTTATAATTATTACACTTTTTTATAAGGTATAGAATCTGACAATCCTGTGGACTTCATAAATTACCTATAGCGGTTTGGCACGTAATTATTCAAATGTTCTTCCAGTGCAAAAACGAAGGATACACGTTTAGGATTAAAATGTTACATTTCAACGGTTATTTATAATGGTTTGACGTGAAAAAAAATTTAATTTAATATGTACAGGCATCACTGTATGGATGTTTATAATATGTTTAACACGAACTGCACAACATCAACCTACTCGACATAGACTTTAATTTTTTTCATATGTGTAATATAATACTATGAACATGAACTGTAGCACGTGCACAGCGTACTGAAACGAAAAATAAAAATCCTCTGCAGGTATGCAAAAACATTTTGGTGTCGACGATTGAATATTTAAATATATTTATAAAATAATTTTTTCCACAACTATTTATTCGAATTTTTCACCTAGAATATTGTTGTCATGGGTGCTCAAAACACAAAAGTGCCTAATAAGTAGGTGTATTGAAAAATCTTGTGATATTTTTGCGAACCATTTATAGTATGTAATGGGTATTAACATCGATTATATTAGAATGGAATTAATAATTGCATTGATTGTTATGTAGTAATATGACGTTGTACTGCAATTTCAGATAATATACGTTCAATATGTACAGAAAAGTGGAATGGGTGAATATTGACGTCTGAATGCCTGATATATTTATACATTAACAGTATTAGTGGAGTTAACGATCGTGTGATGATCTGCATTGTTAGGTACTATTGTTACCTACACTATGGCAGTTATTGTTGCTATTAATTACAGAAATATTTGATATTACACTATTGCTACGATCTCCCCCAAGCATTGACCATAAACAAATTAAACATTCGGTTAGCAGGCATCTCATCATAGATTAGCAAAATGTAAGAATATGTTTTACATTTAAAACATACTAAATTGAAAATGTTGGAACTAAAAATCAACGATTTTAAGTAATCGTCTGAACTTAAAATTTGTTATGATTATGAAAGTTTATTGGGTGCACTTTAAAGCAGCTTTTAATGGGTATATATTAGAATGATTTTTTTTTAAAATTATCCTGCATTTGGTTTTTGATTACAACGGAAGCATACCAATATTTTAACTGACAGTCATGTAGTCATTTATTGAATTCTCAATGAGACAAAGGCACTGAATTAATTTAGAATAATTAAACTTACATTCAATATATATGTCCGTCTACTAATCGAGAGTTTATAATTTCTATCGATAGGGTTCTCCAATTATAATTTATAATATTGGAAACCGATGGGGGATGTATATAGTATATATTATATTTCGATAGTTTAATCCAATAAGAGATTATTCAATTCACCTATGAGGTACGTAGCGCGGTAACATAATATTGATTTGACTTAGTATTTTGTACACCGTTAAATAGTAGATTTGGATTTTACGTGTATTTTTATAAAGAAGAAATAATGCAAAATGGTTCAGTCTTAAGTGCACTGGTATTTACAGCTAGAAAACGTAAGTTCAAAAAAAGTAAGTTAAAAGCAAAGGTTTGACTTTAATATTAAGATAAACGAGCTTAACTATAAGGATAAACCAATAAAAATGTTGAATAATATAGAATGTAAGTCATTAATAGATTTTTATTATGCTTAGGTATCCGCCATTGCATAACATTGACAAAAAAAATTAGTCGGTAAAGCTGATATAATCAAAGACATATTAATACTTATTAATGTACATTGTAAAAATTTAATGAGGTATTGAAATCGTTGATTTGTTGTTATTTAAAAAGTGGAAAAATGTAACAACTGCTAAATTCTTTATACCAAAATCATGGCCTAAAGAATTGTTAAATTAATTAAATAATTTTTTTACAGCTTTTTATCTAAAACATAATTTTTCTAATTTACGTAGTATTTATATTAGAATACATTTAAAGTTAATATTAAGGAATTATAATAGTCTGTTTCAATATAATTTCCAAAAGTGAAATTATGATATGATTAATGTTTTATTCATATAAAATACAAATTGTAAATATTAACTATTGAAGACAGTTTTGATGGCAGTTAGATTTGATGATCTATATGAGACTATTTACAACATCATTATAACTTATTTATCTAGGAATTTTATATTCATTATAGTTGTCGGCATTAATGTTTTTAGTACGGGTTTGGTTAGCACCATACAATTTAGCTTGGTAAAATACTTAAATTGATGATAATTTTATTAAAAATACAGAGGTAAAGTATGTTCTGTACCAAGTTTGAATAGTTATCAAATTTAAAAATGTAGGTAGGTATCTTGGAGCGTAGGTTATGATCAAAGAAACTCGATTATTTGGAATAATATAATAAGTTTATTACATTCAGTACGAGTTAATCGACAACAATTATTTTAAAAATGTGTAAAATAATTTCATATTTTCATGGTAATATATGGTAATAATTGTTAATATTCACAGCACCAAGTCAATCGTATTATAGTGAATTCTTCATATCAGTATTGATGTGTTTAATAATTATTGATTTACTATAATACTTATAGAAAATTATCATGCAGTGTCTTTTCAAAAAATGACAGAAATATAGTCGATAAATATACAGGGATAAAATGTCATTGTCTGTGAACAAAACAATAAAAAATATGATAAATAGTTGAATCCACTTGACAATCCGTTTCATACAGAGTGATTCGTTAAACATGCTCATCCCTCCTCTTTTACCAATTAATGATGCATTCATTCAAATTCTGATTTTTGGAATTTAAACTTTAATGTGTGTATATTAATCTTTAAGACCAGTTTTTCAAATGATTAGATTGTTTATGTAAATTAAAAGGAGTAAACAGTACCGATACATCATTTTAGTTTTGAAATAAGAAGAAATTTTTTCTTAAATGCCAATGTATCTAAATTAAATTCTGAGTTATTAAACTTTATGTACCTAGTAAGGATAATAGTCCATGGTTAGAAAATATAAGGCCATGACCTTTGATGATTTGAAACATGTATTTAACTATTAATATTAATCTATTCATATATATTTTATTCACATTTCATAATTTATACAAATTGCCCTAGTATAAAAAGTATTCGACAAAATCTTTATTATATTTTTATATTTTATTACGTAACACTGCTAATGACGATTAATCAACTTAGAAACTAATAATTTAAATTTAAATTTAGATGTATTTGAATTTTCAAAACTATTTATATTTTACATAGGTACAGTAAAAAAAGGTGATTCTCGTTTGAAAAATTAAGTTAAAGTATCACCAAACGATACATCGTTAAATGGTATGAATAATCTAAGTATTTAAAATATGGTTTTCAAGTTAACTAAAAAATTCCAAAAATCAGAATTTTTATGCATTATTAATTGGTTAAAATGTGTTTATAGAGTATATCTCAGTTATAAAAACTCCTCTGTATACCTTAATACTGACTTTAATCCTTTAAGACTTCTATAATTATTTGAATATTTAACAGAATTTAATAAATCAACTTTTAAAATATTTACATAAATTAGCGCTATAAACATTGGCTATCTCGGGTTTTGGAGTATTACACTATACGTAAAATCACGTTTTTAATTTTATACTTTATAAATTATAAGTAAACCAAAAAGCATTCAAAACTGTGACAAACTTGGCTTGTATACTATTCGGATAAAGTTTTCGAAAATAGTTTATCAATTAGTAAAAAAAGCGTAGTATGTCTATATGTGATGGGAGAAAACCATTGCTAACATAATTACTCAGTATATACACTTTATATAGTAGTATTATTATAGTAGTTGGGCGTGACCTAACCTAACCTTCGCTGTAGTGCTGTTAAATTCAGTATATTATATCATGGTGGTACAACAGATGATGGTCGACGCTAGACCCAGCGAGTGCTATTCAATCGAATCATTAACCCTTCTGCACAGATCCGTCCATGACCAACGTTCTGTATGTGTGTTCACTTTTACAAAGGGACCTTTGTACGACACATAATGTGGAGGTTGCGGCCATCGGATTTAAGCCTCCCACTCTCTACCCCTCCTCATCTTCCTTCTGCTACTACTGCTACTAGTGCCACCACTACTCCACTACTCGTACAGTTGTTCTACTGTCTACTACGCAGTACAACAATAAACCCACGTCGTTGTGTGAATGTTGGTGGTGGGTGGATTAAAATGGTGCGATATGCGCGGTGGTGGCTGAGATATCGTGAGTGGGATATAGAAGTGATGATGACTGTTGGCGAAGGCTAGGGGGGTGACTGAAGGGTGAGAAAAGCGAAGTCCACCACCCCGGTTGGTCTTATTCGCACGTCTTTGAAACGAGACGTTTATTTGATGTCCCCGATCGTGTTGCTGAGTTACGTATAATAACCTATAGCGACCGTGGGGATTTGAAAACAATACTATATGGCATAGCAGTACGTCAACGTAACAATAACAATAATAATAATAATAATAATAATAATAATAATAATAATAATAATAATAATAATAATAATAATAATAGTAATAGTAATAGTAATAGTAATAGTAATAGTAATAATAATAATAATAATAGTAATAATGATAATAATATCCGTCAAACAAGGGTTCCGTGGTAAGACGTCTGTCAGCGGCGTACTTACTCAACGACGATATTATAATACGAGTATACGTGCACAGGGCACACGCTAAAGACGGCGAAATTCGACCGCCGCCGTGAATTACCATCCGGTAACAACGATATTAATTTCATCTCGGACGGACGGATCTTTTGTTGATAATATTATTTGTACCTCCTAGTTGTTATTATTATTAATTATACAAGTATACAGATTACAGTTCACCAAGACTGAGGAGAGATCATCATAATAGCGTTTAGTATTTGACCGGATTTCGTATATTATATTTCTATGACTATTACCTAGGTGCTATTATTATTGATGACCCTTTCTATTGCGTGACGTGCACGCCATTTAATTTGCTTCACTTATTCTACGCCACCATGAAGCATGTATACGTTTAAATAATATCGGGTAGGTGCCTAACCGTTTGGTGCTACATAGTTTTGAATAATAGAAGTATATTCGAAAATATAATTAAACACGTCAGTGCACAAAAATAAAATATCTTTGAAGGTTTTTTTTTACGTGTTCAATATAATAACTTATTATAATGTGCAGTACTATATTCAAACTTTAATGTAGTAGTTATTAATAATACTGTGAATGTTTATAAAATAAAATTATCTTTTATATCTTACTCGTTCTCGTTGTGAAGTTGTAAACTCGCGAGAAAAATAATTACAATCAATAATTATTACTGTGTGTAACGTATTCAATTAATTTATTATTTCGAATTTTAATATTGTTTAAATATATTAATATTCAAGACGATGAAATGGATAATAATTATAGTTGCAAAGTAGTTCTGATTAATTTGATATCGATTTGCATAGTAATAAGAATAACTAATAAGAAAATACATAGCAATTTGAGTAATAGTAATTAATGTATAATATTATCCGCAATTAATTGATTAATTATTTGAAAATACATAAATAAACAATATATGCAATACCACTGCAGAGTTTCTAGTTTCTGCTTTATTTCAATTGGCATATTAGTATTTCACACTTCGTATTTAGTGAATAAATCCATATTAGACAACGATATTTATGAGCTTATTACTTAAACTCGGAACTTATTCTGATCTTACTAAATAAAAATACTAAATCAGTGCAATAAATGTTACAATAATACATTTATTTTTTAAATATAATTATTATAATAATTGTATTATTAATATCTACCTACTTACGAGTATACCTATGCCTATTTTGTATTGATGAAATTCGTTTTTCATTTCTCATCGTTAATTGATTAAATTTTTTCTAACTAATTACTGATCAATTATATACAATTATAATCCTTGATTTCTATTATATTTATAAACAATGATGTCAATTAAAATATTTAAAATATATTTTAGAACTCTTTAAACTAAAAATATTTTATATTATAATTAATATTAATTTATTGTTGAACAAGGTTTTATGAAGAAATATTCCTATTTTATGGCTAAAACTTAAAAATAAGTTGTAATCTTGTTGAGTACCCACACTTTAAAATTCACCGAATCCATTGTAATATTTAAGATTTGATCGTACTATGTTTACCTTAAGGCTGAAACCTTGAAGCAATGGGTATAATGATATTTCACTATAATTATAATCCGGATAATTTGGCCAAGTAAAAAAAACCATGTATGATAAAAAAGTTCTATGATAATTTATATTTGTTGTCCGTTTTATGGAAATGTACTAATTTACAATACAATACATCTTATATTATTACTATTTTAACGTTATTTACAAGCATTCCAAAGACCAAAGCTATAATTATAAACAAGTACTTTTATTTTGTTCTCTAATCATTTTAATATGATATCTACAAATTACAATTGTTTGACTTACTTTGAAATGTTGGGCTGTACCGAGGCTGAATTCTTTGCTGTAAAGGTCCTCTACGGTCGTCTTATACTTGGAGCAAAACGAGTTGTACAAAAACCGTTTGCAAATTGCACTCTTCCCAACGCCAGCATCACCAAGCACGACCAATCTTGTTCTCTCCGGGTCGGCCATGATATATCTTTTTTATCCGTAAGTCGGACTCGGATTATTTCATTGTCTACCAGACATTATGCGATAAACTGGAAAAAAATAACAATCTAATCAAAAATAAAATTTAATTAGTAATACACAATATATAACATTTATTGATTAAATTTTGACTATTTTTGATTTACTTTGGAGTTGATGTATATAATTGTGTTAACGTCTAATTGACATTTTTTTTACAAATCAAAAATACAATTTGTATTTTTAACAAAACGCTTTATATTAAGATAGTTTATAAACAAAAGAAATAAAACTCTTTGTTCCATTCATTTTTTTATTCTAAAATGTTAGCAACTATAAGAATAATTATTTAATAATATTGCAATACACTTAAAGGTAAAGCTCGTTTTTCTATACATGAAATTATACCATCATCTCTTCCATTAATGTCACTTTCTTAAATTATATGTATTAGGTACATGTAAGTTTCTTAAAAAATCTTAAATTATTGAGTACCTAGTTTTATTAAGTGTTAGAAAGTTTTAAAAAATATTAAATTTTAAATTATATGTAAAATATTAAAACATTTTTAATATTCTTTCGGTATTCGTATAAAGATTCATGAATTTACTTTTTTATTTTCATGAATCGTATAAAATAAATCAGTAATTAATATTACATAAAACATTTTGATAATGTACAAGTGTAAAACTAAATCATTTAGATTCAACGGGAAATTACAATACACGAAATAATTATGATATCCAAAATCAACAATTATTGAAACTTTCAAATACAGCTAAATATACCGTTAACTTATTAAAAATATATCTTAGATTATAAGTGATAAATTTATTGATTTTAAAATTATTTGTGTTTTCTGTGTGTGTGTGTGTGTGTGTGTGTGTGTGTGTGTGTGTGTGTGTGTGTGTGTCCATAATAACTATAATAAACTATATATAGTAGAAGTGCTTCATCTTAAGCTGAAGAGGGTTTCTAATAAACAATTAATTTAAATGTTGTACTCCTAAATACTTTCGAAAGCTTTCGAAAATGTCCTATATTTTGAATATCATTTTGAACAAACAAAAAAAAAAGGATTAAGGAAATCTGGAATTTTAATAACAGTCTGAAACTTTTACGTATCATTTTTATATAAAAAATAACATTTTCAAAACATTTAGATTAATATTATTGGTTATACTTATGCCTTATATATTATCACAATAAATTACTATAATAATTAATAGCAATATGTTGATACGATAACAGACCAACGACAGATGGTCTCTGCTCAGAATTGTTTAATTTACAATGATTTTTCAATGAATTCAAATTTAACACATCTATTACAGTGGTTTACTCAATGACAAGGTGCTCTCAACTCCTACTGTAAAGGCAGTGGTTGCCTAAATCTCACTCTAGTAAAAAAACAAGCATGAAATATTTAATTTTTTGTTGGTAACCAAAAAAAATCCAATTCAATAACTACAAACTTTTCTCCCCTCGTTTATCCGTCCTGTAGGCAATAACATTAATTATATTATTGTGTGTAATTTTTATAATGTCATTATATTGTAGCGTATCCTCGGCCACCGGGCGGCATTTTTCTCCGGACAAGTCGCGGTGACCGGGGAGCAAGTGCCGCCATCCCCCACCCCCGGGGCATGGCAGAAACCTACGGGTGCCCCATTCGAAATTCTGCCAAAACAAACACACACGTGTTCCCCCTACCGTTCCAAAAACCTACAAACCATCAATA